ACTGGAAAAGAACCAAATATTTCTCACATAAAAATATTTGGATGTGCCGTATATGTACCAATTGCTCCACCACATCGTACAAAAATGGGTCCTCAAAGAAGGCTGGGAATTTATGTTGGCTTTGATTCTCCCTCAATTATAAAATATCTTGAGCCAATGACTGGTGATTTATTCACAGCTCGGTTTGCTGACTGTCATTTTGATGAGACAGTATTCCCAGCCTTAGGGGGAGAAAATGAGAAAAAGGACTCATGTACGAAAGAGATTACATGGAATGCAACATGATTATCTTTTCTTGATGCAAGAACAAATGCATGTGAACAAGAAGTGCAAAAGATAATTCATTTACAAAATGTTGCAAATCAATTGCCTAATGCATTCACGGATTCAAAGAAAGTGACAAAGTCACATATTCCTGCTATGAATGCTCCTGCCAGAATTGAAATTCCTTCAGAGAAAAATGAAATAACTCTTGCAAATGAGTCTTCAATACGCAAAAAGCGTGGCAGACCACTTGGTTCAAAAGATGTAAAACCAAGAAAACTTAAAAGGCAAGAGACAATGTTTGAAACAAAAGACGTTCATTCTTCAAAGAAAGAAAATGAACAAACCGAGCATGTTGATATAAAAAATAATATCAACGAACAGTTTGTTTCAAATGAGGATTTAACAACCTCTGAAGATGCGAATAATTCAGATGAAGATAGAAACGTTGATAATTATGAGATCTCAATAAATTACATTTCTACGGGATTGCAATGGAACAGAAAAGATGTTCATGTTGATGATATATTCGCATATGCCATTGCCATAAACATCATGGATGAAAATGATGACATTGAGCCAACTTCAGTTGATGAATGTCGACGTATACATGATTGGCTAAAATGGAATGAAGCAATTCAGGCAGAATTGAAATCACTTGAAAAAAGAAGTGTTTTTGGGCCTATAGTTCCTACGCCAAAAGGCGTGAAACCAGTTGGGTTCAAATGGGTTTTTGTGCGCAAGCGCAATGAGAAAAATGAAATTGTGAGATATAAAGCCCGACTCGTTGCCCAAGGTTTTTCTCAAATCCCGGGGATAGATTATGAAGAAACTTATTCCCCAGTAGTTGATGCAACTACGTTGAGATTTTTAATAGGCATGTCTGTCTTTGAAAAGCTTCAAATGCGTTTAATGGATGTAGTGACAGCATATTGATATGGATCTCTCGATACTGACATATATATGAAAGTTCCTGGAGGGCTAAAATTGCGTGAGGTTTATAGTTCAAAACCTCGAGAGATGTTTTCCATAAAATTGGAAAAGTCACTATATGGACTAAAACAATCTGGCAGAATGTGGTATAATCGTCTCAGTGAATATCTGCTCAGAGAAGGATACAAAAATGATCCAATTAGTCCATGTGTTTTCATCCGTAGATCTAAATCAAGCTTTGCCATTATTGCAGTATATGTTGATGATTTAAACATCATTGGAACTTCTGATGAAATAGAAAATACTGCAAAATATCTCATGAAAGAATTTGAGATGAAAGATCTTGGTAGAACAAAATTCTGTCTTGGTCTTCAAATTGACCATTTGAAAGACGGAATACTCATTCACCAGTCAAATTACACGAAGAAGGTTCTGAAGCGGTTTTATATGGATAAAGCACATCCTCTCTCATCCCCGATGGTTGTTCGCTCTCTCAATGTAAATGATGATCCATTCCGACCTCGTGAAGATGATGAAGAAATACTCGGTCCAGAAATACCATACTTGAGTGCTATTGGAGCTTTGATGTATCTAGCAAACAACACTCGACCAGATATTGCATTCTCAGTGAACTTGTTAGCCAGACACAGCTCGACCCTGACTAGGAGGCATTGGAATGGCATTAAACACATTTTGCGATATCTCAATGGTACCATCGACCTTGGTTTATTCTACCGCAAAGGTGCCAAGGCCACTCTTGTTGGATACGCTGATGCAGGATATTTGTCTGATCCACAAAAAGCAAAATCTCAAACAGGGTATGTGTTTACTTATGGAGATACCACAATATCATGGAGATCGATGAAGCAAACTTTGACTGCCACATCATCAAATCACGCGGAGTTGATAGCTCTCTACGAAACAGGTAGAGAATGTGTATGGTTGCGATCAATGATCCAACATATCCAGAGTGGGTGCGGTATAGAAACAATTACTAGTCATCTGACTCCTATATATGAAGACAATACTGCATGCATTACTCAAGTGAAAGGAGGTTACATCAAAGGAGACCGAATAAAGCATATATCACCAAAGTTTTTCTCAACACATGATCTCGAGAAAGATGGAAAAGTTGACATCAAGCAAATCAAGTCTAGTGAAAACTTTGCTGATTTATTTACAAAAGCGTTGCCCCCGAAGAAATTTGAAGAACTCGTACACAAGATTGGCATGTGTCGCCTCCGTCAATTATGCTAAACTGAGGGGGAGAATTTTATGAACTGTACTCTTTTTCCCTTGATCAGGTTTTTATCCCACTGGGTTTTTTCTGACAAGGTTTTTTTAACGAGGCAGTACATAAAATCAGAATGGGTTACCAAACTATGATCATTTATGAAGTACCCATCATTAATTGAAAAATGAACATTCAAGGGGGAGTGTTATGAAATTAATGATTGTTCATTTATTCAATTAATCAGACATAATTTTCAGAATAGTAGATTAAGACACCCATTGATGAGTATCAATTTAGTACAGTCCTTCCCACTTGTATTTGTATTCATACTAAGCCTCTCCACTATAAATAGAGGCTTAATTCCTGCATTGTAATCACCATTAAGTATAAGAAGAAGAGTGAAGAGTTAATAGAGAGAAGAAATCAGAAATATATTATATCTATTCTCATAATCTCTGAGTAGTTTTTCTCTCATTTTATAACATAAAACACTTTTTTTTCTTAATTATTAGTTATTGATAATAATTATGTAAACAGTACAAGCCATGGCATATGGACGGTTGCGTAGAAGAAGAAGGCTGTTAGGCGTGAGAGCAGAGACGCAGCAGAATCTGATCTGAGTCAGGAAGACGACAGTGATAACTGTACTCTACAAGCTTCTAACCTCTGCCACAAGGTTTCCTCCATTCTTCTGCTTCGCAATCATTCTTCGTTCGATCTAGGGTTTCTGCAACTCTAAATCCTCAAAAAAACACTGAAGCAGAGCCGATGGACGGCGTGTTGTCGGCGTCGGACCAGCAGATCTTAGTCACCTCTTTCCTTGAGATCGCAGCCGGCCAGTCTGCTGACACAGCGCGCCAGTTCCTTCAGGTTTGAATTTCAATCAGTGATGGTATTTATTACATGGTTGTTCTGGAAAGTCGACAAGTGTGCATGAAGATGAGATTATTTGGATTTATAGGTGGTTATGTTGAACTTCCAATCCGAAGCTTACACCTTTAATTTGGTTTGCATTCTAAAATAATAGAATTAGCGTTTATGAGAACCTATCTTATGTTGGAAGTTGGATTCACCAGCATACTCTCTCGATTTTGAGCTTGCCCAATGAATGTACTTATGTACTGGTAGTAGGTGATGTCTGTGGGAATTTTCCTAAAGCTTGATTATATTTTTCTAACCACCTTATAAAAACATGCATTTACAGGATTGCTTATCAGCTTTGTATAAGCGAGAAATATGTATTCCTTCATTATAGGAGATTCTAGGTTGCTTACCTCTGCATTGTCATGTGCATAAAATTATACATGGTGGCATATTAATTGTAGGCAACAAGTTGGAAGCTTGACGAAGCAATTCAGCTTTTCTATATCGGCAATGATGGAGATGCAACTGCATCATCATTGAATTCCCCATTGGCAAACAATGCATCTCTACCTGATCCTAACTTGAGGTATCTGGTGTGTATCTTTGGGGAGGGGGGAGGGGGTATTTCCCAAGTTTGGATTTATAAATAACAACAACAACAACCCAGTTGAATCCCACTACAGTAGGGTCTGGATTTATAAATAATGCTATTGATAATTATTCTATTTCATTTATTCATAATTCTCTTTTAAAATTTTAATTAGTGGATCTAGAAAAGACTCCAGGGACGAAAGCATAAGGCAAACTGATGGTGATGATGTACGACCACCTTTGCCTGTAATAAAGGATGTTCTTTATGACAATGCCGTGCTGCATGGGTATGGCTTTGCCTTGATTGTGTATTACTCTGTAGTTTTTAATTATAAATATTTGTGATGTTATTGCCTGGGGTTAGGCTTGAGCTTTTTTTATGATGTGAGTCAATAATAAGAAGTTCTATGGGTCTTCTATCTTTTATCTGTCCCATCATTCCCATTACAAGAAGTTTCAAGTATGCGTGAAAGAGATTACATTTACATATAGTTCCTCCTGAATATTAACCTTAACGATAGTTTAGTTAGTTTCTTAAACTATTGTACTTAGGCACATTCAACATTTAATTATTTTATTATACATAGGAAATCCGGACCACTACAGAGTATATTTGAATTATTAAGCAACACTATTTTCAGTGAAATTTATTGAATAGTACCACCTAATTATAATTACAAGTAATTTTTGACATTTGTTAAGATATGGGTTAAAAAAGGAATTTTTATGTTTGCCTGCACTTCACATTCTGCATATATTCACCTTACATTCTAATCCATTGTGAAGATATGTGTGCATCATCTCATGGTTTTTAGATGCACCCATCTTGTCAACCAAATCAAGAACGGTTCAAATTTCATAAAAAAGAATGGCTCAAATATGTAAACAATGTTTTTTCTTCATTCACAATGTACTTCTAGTTTTGCTTCATTTAAAAAAGCTAACCATCTGAAGTCTAAAGTTCTGAACATTAATTTGTGGAAAATCCTCAGATTTAAGGAGCATAGGTGACTACCTTTATAAACTTGGTCTGGTTTCACATTCTCTAATGAGTATTTGCATTCTTGCTGTTGATCAAGCACACGGGAGGAGAATATCATACTTGATAGATAACCAGAATTCATTTGATTGAAGTTACTTGCATATATTCATTGTGAATGAAATCCTATTATATAGTGACATTAAGATTAATAGATTATGCATTATAAACAAGAATTTCTAATACTCTCTAATTTAAATATTAAAAATACCATTTCAACTATGAACAGCCAAGAATCCTAATTAGTCTCAATTCTCAAACTATGCAGAATCATAATGATTTTAACCTTGTATACCTTGATTTCTCATAATGAGATGCATTTTCACTCCTAGTCATTATAAGTATATACTCTGTCTTGGGTTTGGCAGTGGTTATTTGTTTAACTCAAGGAGGGTTATATTTTTGAACTTTTGCACTTCTTTGCAACTTGCAAGTACTCTGTAGTTGTTTTCTTGTATTGGTACCCCATCTATACCTTTTCAGAATCTGATCTAATTTCTTACTTCCTCCGTCCCAAAAAGATGTTTCTGTTTCATTTTTAATGCATCCTATAAAACTCTTCTACCCAGTACCCACATCTTAAATGTCTAAAGTTTATCGCATTTCTCCTTTAATACGAGTTGTTGTTTTGGGGGTATTTTAGACATTTGATGTGAGGTAAAAGTGTTTTATGGGATGCGCAAAAATTAAAATAAGAACATTTTTTAAGGACAGAGGGGGTATTGCTTGCCAAAAGATTGTTATTGAGAGTCATAAATTATTCAGTATTACTATTATTTCAATTTTGAACCCTTTTATCATTATCATTAGACAATCAATGATGGGTGTTTCTGCACGCGAAGCACGTCATGTAGTTCCCTTCCGCAATTTTGAGGAGGAAATGAAACACCCAGGAGTATGGGAAGCAGACAAAGGATCTTCTTCTGCAGCGAAGAACACTAAAGCAGACAATCTTGCTTCTTTATATCGTCCACCTTTTGCATTGATGTACCATGGATCTTTTGAAAAGGTAAATCTGGCTGTTATGTCCTCTAAGAGGGTATTTCAATTTTCCCTTGAGCAAATAATCAAATACCCTGCACAATGTCTTTGATGTACCGCTTGCACACATATTATAACATGTACCTGAACACAAACACACACATTGGGGGAGAGATTTATTTTATATCTTTATATTTATAGCTTCGGAAATCAGGCTCTTTTTTTTCCTAAGTTCAGTTAACTGTTAAGAAACATTGCCGTAGGTGAATAAAAGTTGAGTGTCCTTTGTAATCTGTCTATGTACCTACATGATGATTAGTTCATTGCTGTACACAAAAATAACTATAATTGCCTTGCAGGCGAAAGATGCTGCTAGACTTCAGAATAAATGGCTTCTCGTGAACCTTCAGTCTACCACAGAGTTCAGCTCACATATGGTAGTGTTTATTCTGACAAAATGCCCATTCATATTCTTAGGTGCCTAATGGATATAAAAGGGAACCTGATGCATCAAGTATTGCATCCATTTGAGTTTTTTAGTTAACATTTGGACAATTGTTGGTTATTTACCCCAAAGCAGTGGACAATTATGGGCTAGAATTTATCCCAAAATCATTAAATGTTGTAGTTTTGAATATTTCCCTGAACCATGTTGATGGGCTGTTCTGTGCATAACTGCATATGTGCATGAGATAATGTGAATGGTGGTCCTGTATTTTTTATAAGATTTCTTGGTCATTAGTTTCCAGCTTTCTGAAGTGCATTGTGTATTGTGCATGCACAAATGCGTGTTTTGTTGAATAATTTGTGCTATCTTCTACATGCATGCTGACTTTGTTTAACATCGGTTTTGAAGCTTAATCGTGATACATGGGCTAATGAAGCTGTTGCACAGACAATCAAATCCAACTTGATCTTTTGGCAGGTTTGGTTCTCTCTACCTTCCCTTTGTAGTGGGATTGATGATTGTGTCTAGTCTGTAACGACATTAATGAGTAAACTAGTGCTTCCAGATGATTCATAAATGTTTTCTGCACAACGGAAGACATACAGTTAGTACCTGGATGAAAACAATGTGCTTAATGGCATCATTGTAGTTTTCCTAATTAGCACTTAACATCAATGTCATGCCAATTAGATAAAGCCATAAAGGTGAATTTTAGCAATTTGGATATATCATGCCTATTAGATAAATCCGTAATGGTGAAGAATTGCAATTTGGATATTTCATTGCAATTAGGTAAATCCATAAACGTGAAGAATTGCAATTTGGATATTTAAAAATTGCATTTGTGTGGAGTAGCTAAAGGGTTCTGGCAAATCAAAGGGTAAGAAAACTCAATAATAGATAGCGACACAACACGGTGGAATTGTGATTTAAAGGAGCAGTGGTGGAAAATGCAAATGCCACCCAGTGTTTGGGAAAATGTAGGAATGGAAATGAATACGATACTCTCCCTGTCCCAAACTATTAGACTTTTGCTATAATGAAAATAAAAGAAATGTATTGCGCTTAGAGTATCATGCCTCAAAAGGGTCCAGAGGGGTCAATTCATCCAAACAGCTCAAGAGAGAGTAAATTGAAAAAAGTAAAGTCAGTGTTTAAATTGTGTAGAAAATAGAAATATAAAACAGGACATAGGGAGTAGGAAAATGCTGAAGGGAATGTGATTGCAATTCTGAAGGCGAATTCAAGTGTACAAAGAGAAGAAAAATATCTACTGCGTATAAGATATCTGGAAGGAGTATTGAGCACTCAAAAATAACTGGCAGAAATCAAATATCAATGGAATGAAATTAAATATATTATTGTGATTGCATATATAGAATAGTTGGGTAAAATAGGCATCCTTTTTGGGTCAAATCTTCTTTCAACCAGACTAGTTGTGTTAAAGATTTTATCACTATCCAATATGCTATGTAATGCTTATCTTTTGCTCCCTTATAAAGACTTAAAGATGTGGAAGATACAGACATAAAGTTTGTGAGTGAAATATCACACTATACTCTAAAAACCAAAAATTTAAAAAATTTCTATTCCAACTTGGCCCACCTAATTAAGCAAACTAGGGAAACATCACTGCTGCAAAGTGTAAAAGGATATATTTAAGTTGAACTACTCCCTTCATGCACAAATTTGCTTTCCGTTCACGATTCACAAGGTCAAACTTTAGTAACGCGCAACAGGAAGAAACTTTATGGATGGAAGGGAGTACATAGTAATGGCCTTGTGGGAATGAGGTATAGAATAGTGATGAAAATCTTGAAATGTCAACAGTGGAAACTCATCTTTGAACAATGGTAACATGTCCCAAAAAAATGATTTTTTCTTGGGAATTGAAAAGTTACACTTATCAAAACTTCCACATGTGATTCCCAATGAAAATATTTCCATTTCTGATTTCATAACATGTGTCCTCGGGGCACATGTTAGCATTTTCCCCATCTTTTAAGACAATTTAGAGTATTATCCAGTTAGAAATAAAGGCTTACTACTTTTATATACTTCAAGAAAGCTTCAAATAAAGCACTTAGAATATGTATCAAAAATATGTGTGAAGTGTCAACCATGCTCTTGAACTATCCCAAGTAGTGCAATTGACCTTTTTGGTTTAAAAAACTCCATCTAGTCTTTCCCTTATTTTTCCAATTTAAACCAACCTTTGGAACAATTGTGCCTAATAATTCTATTCCCACAAAGCAAACTACGTAACATTAAGTTATTTTTTATTCATCATACAAGCCAAACATGTTCTGTATGTATTTAACGATCTTAAACGTATTTTTGCATGAATTTGCATGCCATTACTCTTAAAGATTGGTTGCAAGATAGAACTTTAGTTAGTTAGTCGGAAGTTAGCTGTTTGTTAGCTGTGAGAAGGCCTATCGGCAAAAGTCAGTTGTATTGTTTGCATACACATATTTACTATCTATATCTCTCTTGCAGTATATAGTTGTATACTATACTGCCTCCATCCCAATTTAATAGTCCACATTTTGTTTGGCATGGAGTTTTAAGAAAAGTTAAATTGTGTGGCGGAAAGTGATGCAAAAGAGAAAAAATATATGAAGCACAAAAACCTTTCGAAAAGTGGAAAGAGGACTATCGTTTTGGAACACCCCAAAAAGAAAATGAGGACTATTTATTTTGACAGAGGGAATACATTTATGTATATATAGGGGAGCACCATGCATTCATTTTAAGTGTATGAAATCGACTATGTTCTTCCTTTCAACATCTTACATATTTTTCTCTACCCCTTCAAAAACTATTTCTGCAAAGTTGGATGGTCTTTTAAGAGTTCTAAAAGTTTGAGCCAGGACTCAAGGGTGAGGGACCAAGGTTGAACTCCATCAGTAGAGTTGTCTAGGTATAGTGATTAGGTTTTTTAGGTGCGTGTAATTTAATGTTAAGACATTCAAATGGAGTTCTTGTTGAAATAATGCCTTTTAGGTACTCATTGGAACATGCAGAAGTGCAGATATTTAGAGACTTAACTACTTAAACATTGTGGGGGAGAAATTAATCTGATAGGTGCGCTCTTTGGTTGCATGTACTAAAAGATATTTGTGGATTTGTACACTATTATAACATCAAATTCAATGTTTAGAATATAATTTGGGAGTGTAGACGGGTAGAATATAACTTGGGAGGGTAGACTTTAGACTGGTAGAGGTCTAGGGCACCTCTACATTTACTAAACAGTTCTAACATATCCATTCACCTGGAGTTTTTACCCTTTTTATTATTTTTCCATTCAGGTTTATGACGATACAGAAGAAGGCAGGAAGGTTTGTACTTATTACAGGTTAGACTCAATTCCTGTTGTTTTGGTGGTTGACCCCATAACAGGCCAGAAGATGCAATCATGGCGTGGAATGGTCCAACCTGATACTTTGCTTGAGGTGCATAATGTTTATGTCGTTTCTGACTTTCTGTTGTCTCTATATCCACACTAATTCCTTAATACTATGTTTGGTTCGTAGCCTTCCAAAGAAAGGGAAAAGAAAAAGGTTTCTCAATTTCTCAATTCCCATTTTCTTTTCCTTTACTTTTCTTTTCTTTTCCTCTCTAACCAAACAAGAAAAGTTGTTTTCTCTTTTATTTTCTTTTCTGTTCACTTTCAAATTCCTTGAACCAAACATAGTGTGAATGTGTAAACAGCTTTAAATTTGTAGGAAAAACTGAAATTACTGACTAATCCATTTTATTAGTGAAAAAATACATTTATTCTGGCGGTGCAGGATTTGCTACCTTTCATCGATGGTAGCCCATCAGATCGTGTCGGCCAATCTCATAAACGTCCAAGAGAAAGCCCTCATGCACCTCCACTGCAAGTTCGAGGTACATTGTCATTTCATTGAATTCTATATTGAATTATGTTCTATGAAACCCCCACCCTAAGATCACGTTCTAGAAGTAAAAGATGAAAAATATAAGATCTAGTGTTGTTTTTAGTTTTTATCTTTTCCATATGCTAGAACACAACTAAACCCTGTTAAATCAGACCATGAATTCCACCTTAAACAAACGTGTGCAATGGTTTATGCCATGATCATTTATTTACAAGTTTTCATTAGAGCAAGACTATGTAAGGAAAAGGGCAAAGGAGTATGTCACGCCTCTTCTCCGAGAGACTGATATCTGGAAGGCAGAGTAGGCTCACCTCCAACCACCCTAATGATTACACCCAGTGAAGCTATAAATATGAAGAGAGAAAACATATAAAAGACTAATAAAATAATATTCTGGTGGAATTAGTTTCTTTGAGTTAATTCCTTTCCAAGAGTGTTTTGGGGTTAACAAAGAGTAATTGAGCTCGTATTACTGGATTTGAGTAATTTCTTATCTGCTTTTTTTACCCTTTGATGCCTTCGTTTTCATATTTACCCGTTACAGTTCGACGGGATTTGTGTGTTTGCCAACTGGATTAAAGATAGTCGAGTCAGAAACTTGAATCCATAACAGTCAGTGGGATTAAACTTATTTACCCATATACGGAGTAAATCTTTAAAATCCAGTAACCCTGTTGTCCCGTAAACTTCTTTACTGTCCAAATTTTTTTAGTCACCGTACTCATTACAATCAGTTTCTAAATATCATTCCAAACACATTTAAAAAACAGTCAGTGGCTAAAATCCATTGGAGAGCAATAATTATTAGGGAAGTAGCTTTAATAAAATAGTGCAAATTGGTCAAAAGGATGAAGTAGAAAAGTTAGAAAGTTAATGGAGTTCAAACAAGCAGAAATGACGTAATTGGTAGACAAACCAAAAAATGAAAGCATGGGTTTAAAAATTGGGTCAGGCAGAGTACATGTAATGGCCATTTTTTTTGGAATGGTGATTTCAGATCAAGCTAAAAATGAAGAAGAAGAATTGCAACTAGCTTTGGCTGCTTCCATGGAGGGAATGAAAGATAGTCATGTAGATGCTTTAAAAGAAGCCATTGAAGCCGAGGATAATGGAAAAGATACAACAAGCATAACAAAGAAGCCCATTTATCCTCCGCTGCCTGAAGAGCCTAAAGGTGACCGGAATCTCCTATGCAGAGTTGGCATCCGTCTTCCTGATGGACGCAGACTTCGAAGGAACTTCTTACGCAGTGATCCAATTCAGGTAAAAATTCCTAAAATAAAGAATCATGTGTGCAATGATCAATCTTTCCATGACTATAGCAACGATTTGAACTAGTTTATCACATACTCCCTTTGTCCCTAAATTAAAGCCACTTTTTGACTTCACACGAATTTTAACTAAAGTGTTGAAAAGTAAAGAGTTGGTGGTTAAAATTTGTTTAGAAGAGAAATACAGTTTGCCATGTATTGTATTCTTTTAGGGTCTGTTTTCGGTGTTTGGTTGTTTGGGTAAATAGGAGTCAATGAAAAATGATTTCCAAAGTCAATGGAAAATGAGCCTTATTTGGAGGAAAACAATATTTCTTTTTCTTTTCTAGGCAGAACATATTTTTCACCCTTCTCCATCTAAAACTCATCATGTTTTTCTATGCTACAACAACAAAAACAAGTTCTTTTTTCGCTTTTCCACCTTTCAACCACACACCAGAACATCAATGTATTTTACAAAACACGTTTTCCATATTTACAAACAAACCCTTAAAGGAAATGGGACAAGTTTGGCTCTAATTGTACGATGCCTAAAAACCGAAAGCATGACTTTAATTTAGGGACTGATGAAGTACTCTTTAGTCAAACGGTATGTGAGATTGGCTAGCTTATAAGCTACTCCCTCTGCCCCAAATTAATTCACCTAGTTGCATTACCTTCTCAACTTTTGCTCATTTGTCTTTTGTCCCCTCCCCTTTGTATTTTCAGTTGTTGTGGTCCTTCGCCTCTTCTCTGCTTGGGGAAACAGAGTCGAAGCCCTTCCACTTGACACACGCAATCCCTGGGGCCACAAGCTTTTTGGACTACGAGAGTGTTTCAACCTTTGAAGAATCCGGGCTGGCCAACTCCATGATTTCGGTTACCTGGGATTGAAGGTGAACTGGTTGGTTGCCCTATATGCATCATTGCAATCCTAGGAAGAACAAGGAATTTGGTGTTTTTGTTTTGTTTTGTTTTGTTTTTGCTAACTGCCACACAAGCTTCAGCCTTCTGGCCTCTATTTATTTTAATACTCCTTATAAGAAACTCACCTAGAGAAGGTCGTGTAGAGCACATAGCTTTTTGTGTATAATATAAACATTATGGTCTTATCACTCTTATGGACTTATGGTTGGATAAAGAAATCATATGGTCATGGGATGGGTTAGATGTGACTCTATGTGGAGTTTCTTTGTGTTTATAAGTTATTTTAAAATTTTAAGTTATGTAATATTCTATGTTTATAAGTTGACTTATAAATTACTTATGAGTCAAAATAAATAAATAAATAAATAGGTCTTATGTATTTATTTTTAAGTCAGGTTTTTCATTTCTCCATTTTAACTAAAATTATTTACAAAATTATCTCGCCATTTATGAATAAATTCAAAGGACTTATCTATCAACTAAGTAATTTTATATTTGCTAAAGAATATTTAACTTCTAAATAGTTTAGTAGTTAAAATTGTTTATCATCAAAAAGTTAGTACGGAGTAATAAATACTCTAATTGTTTATCCTATTCGAAGTGACTATGTTATGCGCATCTCTCTAATGCGTGTGAAACATGGAGGGGATTTTCAAACCTCATCTCTCTAACGTGAACTTTTTGATTAGTTCTGGGAAAAGTGTCACCGTCTTCTTGAACCCTAACTCTCAGGTGCTTGCTAAAAAAGGGCTTGCCCTCTGTCTCCTCTTTGGTTCTTCCTCATCTCAAATGGGGAAGAAACTTACAGAATTAAATTGAATTGCATGATACTCTCTTTTCTTTAAAATGATCTCTATGATTTTTTTAATACATTAAAAAAAAATAAGTGAACGTAGAGATATTTGGAGCATACCAATTCCGTTTGAAACAGAAACTTATAAAGCGTTTATCTTCTTTTCCCTCCATTTAAATCCACACCATGTTATCTCAAAATTAGAGGAATTGAAAATAGATGGTCTGGAGAGAATCAATTTGTATGTAATCATCAATTAGATTCCCCTCTTTACAGTATGAGGAGGATAATGGGCATGTTTTGGAATATTATTAGCGTTTTGAAAATGCTATCTACGAACAGCGTTAACGTTTTTGAAATAATCTGCACCGTTGGAATTTTATCTAAAATTCTAATGCTAATTTCTATCGCTATTTTCAAACAGTCAAAATATGTATGTAAATGCAATGAATGAAGCATAGGTCCATGAGCTACTAAACATTAGTTGGGACTAATTTATCTTTCGTGAAATTGTTTATTTTGCATCAAATCAAGAATTCAAAAGGATATATCGCAACTCAATTTAGGCTTCGTTTGGTACACGGAACTTAAGCCGCAAAATTGAAACTGAAACCTTTAATTTCAATTCTAGTCTTTGGTAACATAAAAATATATGAATTTCAAATTAGCAGTGTAACAAAATGAATTAAAATTGAAGAATTCAATTCCATAGAATTTCAATTCCAATTCAAATTTAATTCTATGAGTGGAGAATACACACATGCAATTTAAAGTACAAGAATTTGTCCAAAGTACAAGAAATGAATTCAACATAGTACATCATTTTAATCAAGAAATGATCAAGTAATTGCACCACTCTCAACTCACTGCACACACACTGACACACACACACACACTATACACTCACAATTAACCAATAAACAGACAAACATATATAATTTCAGTCTACCCATTTAACAAACACTAAACGGCGGCAGAGGCGTCGTGCTTGAAGTGCGGCGGCGAAATGGCGGCAGCGGGTGGAGGGGCCGGGGCACCAAAAACCTGAGCGCTGGCGTAAACCTCTTTCCTGCCCTTCCATCTTCCGTACACGTAACACCCGTTCTTAACAAAAAAATGAGGAGGGATGAAACTTAATTGAGGAGAGAAAAGAGTATAATTTACAATTTTATCCACGTTCTTAACAAAAAAGTTAACAAAGGACCATTCGTGGAAATGAATATAATAATTGGGGACTAAATTAGTAATATTTGATATGTAGAAGTAAATATGTAAAACGACTTATAACTGGTGACCTTTTATGGAATTTACTCTTCAAAATTAAAGGCAATTATATATATACTTGCGAGGTGCAATTGATGTAGGTCGGGGAAGTAGTTTGGGTCGAGACTTGGCGGGGGGGGGTTACCAGAGAAGTAGGAATCATCAATTTCATGAACGGGACTCCGTAGAGGGGTAGTGGCTTCCGTAGCCACTGGATTCCAGTGGCTTTGGAATCGGACTCAATTTGTTGAAGTGAGTGGTACGTGGACCTCGAGAACTCTCCATTCCTCAACGTGGCCCGTTCAAGGGAATGAGAAGTTGGGGGCTTATGATGGGCCGCTAGCCAACTGGGAAGCCCAACCCAAATACGGAGGAGTACTTTGTGGCCCACGTTCGGGTTAGGGACTGTGCCAATCTAAGATGTTGGGCCTGAGCTGACCCGGATTGAGAGGGCCACTGGCCGCACGCATTGCAAGAAAGAGCTCTGCAGCTAGGTCATGGAACACTAACCACAATATTTGTATTGCATGATTTCCGGGTGATTAATTTCCATATTTAATAATTATATTAAATATATTAGTCAACATGTATGAATAGAGGTGGGGGGCATGGTCACCCTTAAGCGAAACCTAGCGCAACACAGTTTAACACTCGAGTTCTTTTGTTAATAATTTTATCACGATCCACTCTTGGATCTGGATCGATTGGTGGAATTATTATCCATCATATACAATATATATTAAAAACAAATAAAGTTTACGAACAATAGGATGATCGGAGACGTCAATCCAAGCGGGGGCCAACAATAATTTTTCCTCCGGGGTTCATTTTTTAATGGATTGTGCCACCTCGGTCATCAACTTGTCGCCCTTTGGTTTGTGACTCCTCCTGCGTGCATTTTCTTAGTGCACTTTGTTCCAGTTGAGTCTCCGGATGCAACTTTGTGTCTTGGAGATTCATCGAGGTTTGCGTATGATATATCGACGGATTACCGGCGCATAATTGAAAAATTTACATTGCTTCCTCATTTGCTTGTGAGCTGACGAAGGAATGCTAAAATCCGTGCACTTTCGTGCGTCGGTGTTTAATGCAACTCTGGCGTTTAGCTGGATGTCCCCGACATTAAGGGCATTACTAGTGCTCTAAATGGTTGTGCCTAGACCTGATCATGGGCTCGGGTATTCGGTCCGCCCGCAAAATAGCGGGCTTAGGCTTGACATTTTAGGGTACGGGCCGGGCTTAGGCCTTATAAATGGCGGCCCAAATATTTTAGGGCCGGGCTCGGGTTTATGCTCAAGCCCACGGGCCGGCCCGGCCCGAATAAATTAAAATATTTTTTATTAATATAATTATAATAAAATAACAATAACAACATTAATAATAATAATAATAATAATAATAATAATAAAGAACAAACCTATTTCAAATTATTATAAACACACATACATAATTCTAAGGAGAGAAAAAATTAACTATAAGTTTATATAATAAAATGAATACATCTTTACTACTTCGTATTGTTTGCAACGTATCACACATTATTATGACATTCCAATAGATAATATTTTGTACTCCATATATAGTAGCAATATCAAACAAAATATATTTATATATTAATTTTTCTTTCATTACTCATAATAGTTTTTATATCAAAAATCTAATATATTAACTTGTTACTTTATTTTTTTAAAAAAATTATTTTTTAAATTATTTAGAAGTTTTTGTCGGTCGGGCCAGCCCGGCCCGAAGCCCGCGGGTTACCATGCGAGCCGGGCTCGAGCTTCAATTGTTAGGTCCGTTATACGGGCCGGGCCGGACTCGGGTCTAGAAAATTCTCGTAAAGTAGTGTCTTGACTCGGTCTGAAACCCAGCCTGGCTCGCACTTTAATCAGGTCTAGTTGTGCCATATAGCTTCTCCCAAAATGGTAAGATGTTCTAATCTTTACTATTGATGGCCGGAAGAAAGAAAACAGGTTCTCAACCCTAAGCGAGCGACCTTAGACCTAAATTTTGCTCTCTTTTCCATCCACCGTCGCTCTCTCTCTCCCTCCATACGGAAATTCTCATCTCGCTTCCTCCATCACCGCCGCATTGGACTGTTGTGGATTCTGCCGTCCTCCTCCTTCCACAGCTTGACCGTCTACACTCCAAACGCCGCCCTACCTAATAGCAACCAGGTGCATCCCTTTTTTTCATGTAAATCACTGCTTATCCTTTGAATTATTTTTGAGAAATTTATTTGTTTGTGCTTTCATGTTGCGCTAATTAAGAATTTATAGGTTAACATCTCTAATTTCAATAATACTGTAGATTATTACGTTTTAATTACTCCCCAATCTCCCACTAATTTAAAAAACAATATTTTGTCCCTTTCTCTAACACTCACTTATTTTTATAATCCATTTTACCTCTCATTCATTATTCTGTTTCAGCTTGCACTATTCCAGGCACGGCTTGCCCCTAGAGAAAAAAGTTATGGCAAATCTGCACCAACCACCACCTGGACCAGGGGGCCAACCCCCAAACCCTATGAATCTCAATCCGCCGCCCCCGGATTTCATGGCTTTTGAAGTTGTCGATAATACTTTACCGGCACAGCTTGGCTTTCGAACGCCATGGATGTATCGGTGTCCTTTAAGCCTCACACCATGGCAATTACCGCAGCAACCTCAACCTCAACCTAACCCTCTTATATCACAGGTTTGTTACTAGTGTTTGTAATGTCAATCAAGTATATTTCATGTTTCAAAACCGTGTCATTAAAGCAATACATAACATCACACGAATGCAGCTACTTTAAATAAAACTTCATTTCTGGTTGCTACACTTACTTTTTTTGCCCTTGATCTCTCATATACTTTCATCGTAATGATGCACAGGACTTTGATGATTGGATTTACAAATCCAATCATCCCCTATGGGAGGTACCTTCAATGATTGATTGGAGTACCGGAACGGTGACAAATCAAGATATTCCGATGTGTATGACTCCCTATTACAGGGATGGCCTTCGCACTATACTTGGCCACGTGTACAGAGAATCAGTGATTGATGGGTTGCACCGCGTAAACCTGGGGCTTCTTATTAGGAGGAATGGAGATGGCCTCGAGATCGATACCACTGATCCGCCATCCAAAATTGGTAAGACATTAAACACCATTTCATTTTTTTTGTTATTCACTGTATTCAATATGCTCTAATTATATGTTCTTTTGTTTTGTTTTAAAAGTCAAAACCGATCAGGTTTTAGACACCATTCATACACTGAAGCTGTTAGTGGAGCGCATCGTCGAATCTGTACCACTTACTCCTCCTGCCGTGTGGCCAGATGAGGTCACGTGCTTCTATGACCTCTGCGACTTTGCTGAAGAACCTCACACTGATCAAGCTTTTCTAAGGTAATACGTATGTGCGTGTTTTTTTTAGTAAATGAGAGGAAATAGTGTAGAGAAAGTTTGGGCTTTACATCATGGTTTTAAAAGGCGTTCGAGGCGGTAAGGCAGTGAGGCGGGCCTTTTAAGCCTCAGAGGCGTAAGCCTTGGTAAGGGTATGTGAGGCGTACGCCTTGCCTAGCCGAGGCAGTACGAGGCGGTTGAGGCGAAACTGAGGCGGTAGCCTCTATTCAAATTAAAAATTCAGCACCTATGGGTTAAATGATACTCCTTACAAAGGAATTGGGCCTTTAAAAAAATCTTGGGCATTAGATTTTTGTTAAAAACTTCTTACACTTGATAAATTAGGATTTCTTTTGCTTGTACTTACTGCCTCTCCATTCTCAACCTAGCACAGTTCTCGCGCAGCACTTCAGCCTCTCCATCTTCTTCGACTTCAGCACCCCCTATCCACAACGCACCTTTTGTTCCTTCGGTCTCTCTATTTTCATAACATAATTGCTTCATATTCTTTTTTATGGACAAAAATTGCTTCATATTCTAATTACTTCACCTTATAATTTTTTCATTTTTTTTCCAACTTTAAATTTCTGTTTCTTTTCCCAGCATTACTCTCCCTATTCATCTATGGTTTTTGTTTAATTTGTATGAAGGTCTCTTAACTACAAATTTCATTGTATTATGTAGTGGAAATAAACTTGTCTAATTTTGGTTATGAAGTAGACAAAAAATCATGAAACTTTATCCACTTTATCATGTTTGAAGACGGATTTGAGGCATTTGTGACTTT